ATATTTTGACATTGGTTTGCAAACTCAAGAGGGTTGATGTCTGGAGCTGCTGCTGGGAGTTTTGTTGTTACTACTGTAGTGATAATGACTCCTGCCAGGGCGCATTGGTAAATAAAAATAAAATTCGAGAAGGTTTTTTTATTAGTCAATCATTCCTACCTTACTTAGCATTCGTTTTCAGGTGTTTATAGTTTGGCAACCCTACTTCTCAGCTTTGAAACCAAGGGAGGAAGCTGTTACTCCTCCCATTTTCCATGCATTCTGTCTCTAGTTTCTAGGAGTCTGTGATTAAAGGCACCTGCAGTCACGTTCATTAGTTCCCTGTGAAAATGATTTTCAACACAGATGTCAAATGCAGGAAAAAAGAATTAACAAGCACTTGATAGCAGCCCCCAAGCTGCATCTAAACAATCACTCTTGAACATTAAAGTCGTGGCAAATAGGTTCCGATCTAAATAGAGGTGTTGGATAGGACAGAGAAATAAAAATGAACAAATACATTTGTCTTCATCCTCATCAATTTATGAAATGACTGACATGGGCTAGAGATTTCTTTTTGAAACGCAAAATGAAAAGCGTTTCATTTCCTCTAAGAAGGGTCTCCAACTAGCAGGGTGAGACAAGTGGATGCGTCTCTAATATTTTCTCTTGAATCACAACTACAGAGTAGAAGGGGTCTAGGAGGGAAACAGCCTCACTGGTTCTCAATCAAGGTCTCCAGGAGGCCCATGAACTCTCTGCAAGAGGCTCCCAGTTCTAAACATACACCAAGCACATCCCTGTGAGAGTAAAGGCTTAGCTGTGCAGACAGTCTCTTTTGTATGTGCAAATCATCTATAAGTGAATTATAAAGGCCTATGAAAGCACTGCTGTGTTTACAGCTACTATTACCTGTGGGGCGGTCAAGCACTCCATTGGTGGTGTTATTATCATTAAAAGGGTGTCTATAACTGGGTAGTGGTGGTGTACACCTTTAATCCCAGCACTCCAGAGGCAGAGGCAGGGGGATCTCTGTGAGTTTAAGGCTAGTCTGGTCTACATAGTGAGTTCTAAGACAGCCAAGGCCATCTCAACAAAAAAAAAAAAAAAAAAAAAAAAAAAAAAAAAAAGGAAAGGGGGCAGGTCTTCATACTCAAAAGGGTTAGAAAACACTTATCAATTCAATCCAGACCTCTGTGTACTGAGAGGCAAAGCTCAGATTCCCAACACAGGTGTTCTCATTTCAAAACTGTTCTTGCCTCCCACTCTACATGTAGATCCTATGACATCCACAGTGCTGGTGTATGCATGTTCTCTCTAGTACCAACTCCTCTTCCTAAAGGGTGGGCACAGTCCCATCCTGTCTCTGTGTGTGTATGCCAGGCACCTTCACCATCTCTGAGCCTCTCCTTCTGCACGGTACCTTCTCTCCCACCCCCAACTCTCCAGCTTGGTATTTTTAGGATTAACCTCACACCAACTCCTTTCATGTTCTGATGCTGTAGAAGAGTCCTCAGACATTTAGTCTCAGTATAAATGGAAAAAGAATCATCAATATATTATAACAAAGTTGTGAAGTTTGTACACAATTTGCATACATCTGGTTATATTTTTTAGCAAATTCCCAATGTTCCCAATGTTTACTTGTGGAAAATAAAATTGCTATATTAATAAATGATCTTTTGACTGGAAGCTGGCCACACTGACAGGCTGTTAATAAGTGTAGAGTGTAGGAAGTGTCCAGATGAGTTTTCAGGTCTCTGGTTTCAGTGTACTGACGACTCACGATAGCGAGTGCAGCTGGGATGCCATCAGAACTTCAGTGCCCTGGAACAGTACCTGGCCCGTGGCAAATAGTCAAGAAATCTTTGTCAGCTGAATGGAGGAAGCAGACAGACAGGGACTTATGCTTCTCTGACTTCACCCAGTTTCATTTTAGAGGAGATGGAGTCTAAGCAACTAAGTTACTAATAACCCCTTCTTAGTAGTCAGTCCTTCTCTGGGTTTTGACTTAAATACCCTTCCCTCCAACATACTGTAATTTTCAGTCATAAAGGTAATTCATTTGAAGAAAATTAGATCCTACTAATACATAAAAAGAAAAGCGTCCAGGGAACCACTGCCTGAGTACAGCATGACTACCATCCCTTGAGACTGTCCTGTGTGTGCACAGGCACACACACCTGGTACATCACCAAGCCTCTCCCCTGGCCTTTGGGACTGTTGCTCTAAGTTCATTTTGTCTGTTTCCTCTTATGGCTCCTGCCCTCCTCCTGTGTCCTCAATCTGCTCCTTCTGCAGCACTTAGCTCCTATTTCAAGAGGACTGTGTCCCACTTCCCTCCTGCCAACATCTCCATTCTCCAAGTTGTTATACTATGAAGACATCTTCTAGCTGTGTCTTCAGACTTCCCTTTTTCTCCAGGATTCCCAAACTCAAGGCCAGCAGGTGTAGAGCCCAGGGCACATGTCGCTCTAAGTTCAGGCCATAATGAATCCTACTCTTGTTTTTTGTTGATTTGGTTTTTTGAGATAGGGTTTCTCTGTGTAGCCCTGGCTGTCCTAGAACCCACTCTGTAGACCAGGCTGGCCTTGAACTCAGAGTTCTGCCTGCCTTTGTCTCCTAAGTGCTGAGATTAAAGGCCTTGTGCCACCACCAATATCCTACTCTTGAAAACTTTATACTACTCTCAAGTCTTCTTTGGTTCTCCAACCTCCATCCTATCACCTAAGAAAGTCCATCCTTTCTCTACATTCTTTCTCATCTATCTTTTCCCAATGGCAACTTTACTGTTTAACCCTTCTACATCATTTTCTACCTGGACTTACGATTTTTGTAGAATCAAACATGCGTTACTCTTGCCACTATGGCCAGCCAACCACTTCTATCTTTCCCAGCCTATATTTTTAGAAATGCCCCACTCTTGCAGAATGGTATTCTAAGCCTCTAACAACTTTTCTGCAGGCTGTTTCTATCCTTGTTTCTCACTTCTGAAACAGAGTAATTATTATTCACCCAACTCTAAAACATTTGTCAGTTAAGTATTTATTGGTGGTTTTTATGTGCAAAACCCATCCACTCATCCAATAGCTATTTGCTGAACACCTAATCTATTAGAGAGTACTGATGCTGTGGATGCGGTATTGAATAAGACATGCAAACCCTGATCTCATGGAACATAGAGGCCAGTGGGTTAGAGGGAAGAACCCATTACATAGTGGTCCCAAACCAAATACTTCCATTAAAATATTAAATGAGGGCTGTGGATATAGCTCAGCTGGTAGAGTGCTTGCCTGGCATGTGAGAAGGCTGGGGTTCTATCCTCAGCATCAAATTAACCAGGCATGGTAGCTCACAGCTGTAATCCCAGAACTCAGGAGGTAGAAGACCAGAAGTTCAAGGTCACCCTCCACTACATAGCCAGTTTCAGGCCATCCTAGGATTCATAGAACCAAGTCTCCAGTTAAAAAGAAAGAAAGAAAAGAAAAAAAATTAAATGGAGTCTGGAAATGTTAGTTCAGTCGCTGCATCCAGGTGGTAAGCCCAGAGAACTAAGCTGAGCAGAGGAAGAATGAAAAGAAAGTCAAATGGGTCAGCTCTGAGGGATGAGGGATGAGATGTGTGGTCCAGGATTCAAGTGGGTAAGGAGTTCAGAAAAAAGAGCAGGCTCCTGGGGGCGAGAATGCAAAGCACAGGACCCACACAGACCAGAACGGGGCAAGGAGGTGCCTTCAGCTGGAGGTGGGCGGCTATGAGGAAGGGCACACAGAAGAATGAAAGCAACACTGTGGGCTCATTTTATATAAGGATCCTCTTAAAACCCAGCGGTCAGCAGCCGGCTCTGCAGTGGACAGGAAGATGACTCAGCCTCTGCTGCTACCATCAAAGGATTTGCAGCCAGCCGGGAGGGTGGGTCAAGTGTGTGATGATCCATCACACCACAGAAAGGGATTCGTTCTCAAAGAGACGCAAGAGAGACAGAAAGAAGAACAAAACAAAACAAACAAAAAAAAAAAAACCGCTTGGGGAGTCCAGGGAGGGGAGGGGAGGTGCCGGTCTGGGTTATGTAACAGTACTTACAAAATCATGTATTTTATTCACCTACATCCAACAGGACATCTATGGAAAATAACTGTCCCCAAATGCTTCTTCACTCTCAGCGTTATTTTAAGTGATTGCAAGCAGACAGAGCAGGTAAGATTACGTTTTCCAGATGAGCAATGCAGGCACAGAACTTTTAAGCAACCTGCTTTCTGTTGGGAACATAAAACAGGCAACGGTAAAACAGGAGCACCCTGTCCCTGTCTGTCTCGGCCCACTCCTGCACCACCCAAGTATCTAGAACACAGTAAGTTCTATCATTGCGTACGATACCTGACTCTCACAGGAGCCCTCTGCAGAGACCATGACCCAAGGACCTTCTCAAGCGCTGCTTCCGCATCACCCTCCACCCCCACCCTGGGTCTCTCCAAAACATCATCATCCTTACTGCCTACATTGAGTTTTCCTCGCAGAGATTTCACCCTCAGTAATCTCCCCCGGAAGGGTGTGCAAAGCTGTTTCTGAGCGGATCACGAGGCGTGCAGCAAGCACACTGCATGGGTTGGAATGGATGCATTTCTAGGACCTCCACGGCTCAGGAAGGGCACCCTGGGCTCTTGCATCCCTCTCCCTCGTAACTGGAACAGTCGGGGAGCACCTGTCCACAGCTGAAAGTAGCGGGCACCGCTCCCCAGCTTCTGCAAAATGAACTCAAACCATCATTAAATGCTTCCCCATCTGGAAAACTGTCGGAGAACCAGTGAGAAATGAGGTTGGGAGAGCACTGAGAACGGAGCGCGGGGAAGAGACGAAGCGCGCAATGGACAAGGAGAGATCCCGAGCGGAAAGCAAAGGTTCTTTCCACGGAGGGCAGGAAGCCTCGCGAGATCTAGGGGTCGGGATCTCGTTGCGTTGCCTAGCGACAAAAGGACGCTGGCGGGCCCCCTGGCGAAACCCCACCGAAGCCCTGAGTCTCCTACCATGGGGGAAGAAGGCGGCGGCCGCAGCTGTGGGATCACTAGGGACCTGCAGAAGCTGAAGCAGCAGGCGATGGCGTACTACCAGGAGAACGACGTCCCGCGCAGGCTGGAGGAGCTGCTCAACTCCACCTTCTACCTCCAGCCCGCAGACGTCTACGGGCACCTGGTAGGGACCTGCGGCGAGCTCCCTCCCTCCTCCTCCGCCCCCTCCCCCCGCCGGCCCACGCTGCGGCAGCGCGCTGCGCTTGCGCCGTGGAGTCGCGCCTGCGCGCTGCTGGGGCCGGGGGACTCGGCCCGCTGCTCGGTGACAGCGGGGAGGCTGAGGACAGGGAAACTGGGACTGACTGCCCGCAGGGACCGAAAGTTGAGGCACGAAGGCCGAAGCGAGAGTCGAGAAGACTCTGGGCGGCCCTGTAGCTGGGAAGACTGTCCCGAGCCTGCGAGCTTCTTACCGATCCGAGGAGCCCGCCCGCCCGCCTTTGGTTTTCTAAAACACAGACCTGACGCCAAACTCACCTGGCTGCTGTCAGCCACAGGGACTGGGCTGTGATTTAGGCGCAGCCCACCCGGGAGCCTCATTGCATTGGCTTCCACTGCCACCGAATTTCTCAGATTCCAAGCCTATGCACCAGGGTTTGCATGCCTCATACACCTTACTTTGGCTAGGTACCCAACTTCACGGGCCAGTGAGTACCTAAACTGCAGATTTCATCGGAGGCCCCTTTTCCACTTGGCTCTGGATTTAGCGTCCTTGAGCTCTCCTAGGGCGCGTCCTTCTGCTGTAATCCTTTGAGTTGGCTGATGAGCTATTGCTGAGAGGGGAGCCCTGTGCATAAGAGACTGGCTTGGGGGAGGCAGTTAGGGTACCACTCTGTTCTCTCAGTCTCTAGAAACTCTCTGCAAGGTTAAAACAAGACAATAAAAGCCGATTCCCCCTTTCTAAAAACAAACAAAACAACAACTTGTGCCTCGGGTACTTAAGTGACCCCCCCCCACCCCACCCCAGGGCACACTGAGTGACAGTGGTCCATCATTTGTGAAGTGGGTGAGTGAAGGCTTGAGAAGGATTTCAGTCTCTGAGGTCTCTTACTAAAGGAACTGTTAACGTTGTCTAGTCCCAATTTAAAAGGACCCCGAACCCTGTCCCACAGGTCTTTAGTGTGCAAGGCTAGAAACTTGCACTTTTGTCTCCACGTGTAAGGCTCCCCCACCCCCAGTCTGCTAGCAGCTGGGCACTGGTTTGTACAGCTCTCTGGAATCTCCCATACCTTGGTTAGGGACCGCCTCAGTTTGCTTTCTATTGCTTTTCTACAACATTCTGACCAAAAGCAACGTAGGGAGGAGAGGGTTTATTTGGCTCACATTTCCATGTCACAGTCCATCACTGAACGAAGTCTGAGCAGGAATTGAAAAAGAGGCCATGGAGAAATTCAGCTTACTGGTTTGCTACCCATGACTTGCTCAGCCTGCTTTCTTATACCAACCAGGTCAACCTGCCCAGGGATGGTACTGCCCATAGGGAGCTGAACCCTGGCACATCAATCCTGGATCCCTTCCAAATGCTCTGCCACTTAAGACAAATTGCAATTACTAAGATTCCCAAGAGGCCTCTTTTAGTGAGGTAGCATTGTGTTCATCGGCTGATGGTAGGTGAGACTGTCGTTGTCTTTTGCTGTTAAAAAGCCAGATGCCTGCTTGGTTGTGGGGGTGTGTGGGGAGGATAAAATCATCCCCCTTCAGATTTCTTAAATCTGAATGCATCGCGGCATTGTAGAGACCAACAACTTCCCTAACTTGGGAAGAAGTATCAGGGAGTTAGTTGACTTGCTATAGAAAGGCCTGCTAAAGAGGGACACAAGGCCTGTGGGTTAAGATGGGTCTCTACATTCCTGATGGGAGGTGAGAATATAACACACTGCCCCGTGTGGGGGAGACTCAGCATGAGCTGTTCCAGCAGAGGTGTAGGGCTAATTCAGATCCGGGAAGGACACACACAGAGAAGTTTTGTAGGATAGAGTCAATGTGCCTGGCTATAAATTCAATGCAGTTTTCTGATTTTTGATTTTATGTGTGTGTTGAAGGCAAACTACTTTTCTAAACTTGCAAAGCCTCCCTCTATATGCAAAATAGTGGGGAAAATCATCCTGGATGGAATGGGACTCCCTACGCTACAGGTGGAAATCTCCTGCACCATTCAAAATTTCCCCAAGGTATGAAGCAGTTCACATTTTCTCTTTAATGTATCCTACCCATTTCTGTACTTATTAGCAAAAATTACCTAAACTGCAGAAACTTAATGTTTTGGAATTCAATATTTGTGAAGCAGATCCACGTACATATGCTGTTTATTCATGGGTACTCATATAAGCTCGGATTGTAGAATCAACAATGCAGTGTGTTTTATGTTTCAGTGTGACTTTGATAAAAGACATGGCATGCTAACCTGAAAACAATCCCAGGGGCAAAAAGGAAATGAAATGAAAATACCTTTAATATTCGGACATTATGATGCAATGCATTCTATAAATCTACATTTGGGTTTATGTGTTTGAGATGTGTAGAATAATGATTTAAGTAAAGAAAACAATTTGTTTAAATAATATTAACAGCTGGATGTAGTGGCACACCCCTGCAATTCCAGCACTCGGCAGGTGGAGCCAGGAGGATCAGTAGTTCAAGGCTAGCCTGGGCTACTTGATACTGTAAGGACTGGTACTGGCTCAGGATGCCCCAAGAACAAGGTCTCAGCACAAAGGAGAGTTCTTTGTTCCAGAAAGACAAAGGACAGGGAATAAGAGACAAAGACAGGAGTAGAGGACAAGGGAGAGCGGGGAGAGATATTTGTCCCAGAGTGGGAAAAAGGACTGCCTCTGGATAGAGGAGACAGGCATAGCCCGTTGTCAAATGGCGGTTTATAAATGTAAAAAGGGAAAACCAGTGTTAGGATGAGGTGTTTAATTGGGCATGCTAATCAGGTGAGCCCAAAAGGGCTTTTGACTGATGGACTTAAATACTTTGACAGCTGGACCTTGTCAGTCAGCCTCAGGAGGAAGTGGCCAAATACGGGAATAGACCCTGGTGACTAGCTTTAGGAATGTAATCTAGCGGTTTGGGGCAAGGCAAAGGGAATGGGAGAGAAGGGCAAGGCCTGCCAGAGCCATGTTTGCCATGCTCCAGCAGGCTAGAGTCCCTTCACTGATTCTATCTCAAGAAGATAAAAGTAAATTTAAAAATTAAAAACAATTTAACTGTTTAATTCATGTTGTTACCTATTTTTTATAAATAAAATTGCCACAGCCTGTGAGAGGAGAATAATAAGATTAAATCCGTGCCGGGCGGCAGTGGCGCATGCCTTTAATCCCAGCACTCAGGAGGCAGAGCCAGGCGGATCTCTGTGAGTTCCAGGCCAGCCTGGACTACCAAGTGAGTTCCAGGAAAGGCGCAAAGCTACACAGAGAAACCCTGTCTCGGAAAACCAAAAAAAAAAAAAAAAAAAAAGATTAAATCCGTAGCTCATTTTTGGAGAGGTAGTGTTAGGAAAAATTCAATGTGGGGATTTTATACCAGCATTTTAACAAGAGAATAATTTAAAATGTTTCATGAAGTCAAGTTTCTTAATGTTTCAATGGATATAAAAATATAGCAAAAATTATGTATTGTTTTCCCCCTTGAAGTTGATGATAAGATACCACTAATGTTAAACGCTAGATTAGTTCAATTTCCCATCTCCTGAGAGAGGCAGAGAAAACGTGCAACATGTTCTGTCCTTGTCAGTACATCTGTTCCGTGGTGATACCTGCTCACTTTGAAGTCTCCGAGAATGCTTTGCCAGAAGTAGTGGATGCCGAGGAGGCAGAAAGGCACCAGGCAGTGAACGCGGCTCTGCAGTGGGTCAATGAATCCATCACAGAGGAGCTGTGGGGTCTGAACCCCTCCAACCAGGCAGAAGTGGACCACAGGCTCAGGTAACAGCTTCCCACTTCAAAATAGTAACGGCCAGGTAGAACCGCCTGGCTCGCCTCTTTACACGGAGACCTGCCATAAAATGGCCCTGTGGAGCAGGGTTCTTAAATGTGTATCATTCACAACCCTGTTTTACCCAAGGAATTTAAAAATTTGTTGGTGTGTGCATGTGTGCACACATGTGCACATGCACTAAAGGCCAGAGTTCACCACCAGCGATCTCCACCTCGTATTTTGAGACAAGGGATCCCTTACCTGGAACTCACCTATTCAGCTAGATTGGCTGGCCAGTAAGCCCCCTTTGTTTCTGCCTGCCCAGTGCTAAACTGGCAAGCTTGTATCACCATTCCTGGCTTTTTACATGGGTTCTGGAGATTGAGTTTAGGTTCTTCATTCTTGCATGGCCAACACTCACTATGCTATCTCCCCACTCCAAGAAATTTTTATGCATTGATATATAGATCAAACATACTAATATACTAATATTATACAAACACTGTATACAAGCAAAATTTGTATATAAACATACAAATATACTAATAAAAATAAGTTTATTTAAAATGATTCTTTGGTATATAATTTTATGATTCATTAAGGACTAAGGCAAATTTGCACACTAATGAGATGGACGTGTTTATTTACTTTGACATTTACAATTGAATCTCAGCTGAATATTTGATAGTGCAGAACACAGAGCACCTTCAACTTTTTTCAGAGTTGATCGATATTTTTATTTATTCATTTTGTATGTGTGTGCATGAGTATGTGCGTGTGACCATAGCAGCACACTTTTGGGGGTCAGATGACAACTTGCTGGGGTGCGTGCTCTCCTTCCAGGGGTCAAACTTAGGTTGCCAGGCTTGGAGGCAAGTGCTCTTGCCTGCTGAGCCATTTTGCCAGCCCCAGAGTTGATCAATATTTGATTTTATAATAGTCAAATCTGAGTATACGGCTTTGCATAAGTACACAGAATACACAATTCAAATGGCAGAATTATGTTTATAACCATATCAGAAATAGTTGGAAATTCTATCCTAATCCCAAGCTGAAATTCATTTAACCACATTTTTTACTTTTAAAATCTTTTAAAGTTTTATTTATTTTCATTTATATGTATGAATGTCTTGCCTGCATGTATGTATGTGTACCACAAGTATGCCTGGTGCCCAGAGACACCAGAAAAAGTCATTGGATCTCCAGAACTGGAGTCATAGGTGGCTGTGAGCCACTGTATTGGTTCTCAACCTTCCTAATGCTGCCACCCTAATATGAGAATGTTATATATCTATATATTATTCTTAGATACAGAATATAAGAACTAATATAGCTCTTCATGTTGTGGTGACTCCCAACCATAAAATTATTTTTGTTGCTACTTCATAACTATAATTTTGCTACAGTTATGAAGTTATATGTAAATATCTGTGTTTTCTAATGGTCTTAGGCAACCCCAGTGAAAGAATGGCTCCACACCCCCAGAGGGGATTGTGACCCACAGGCTGAGAACCACTGGTGTAGGTGGTAGGAGCTGTACTGGGTCCTCTACAAGAGGACTCTCTTAACTGGCAAGCATCTCCTAGCCCTCTCACTTGACAACCTTTTTATGAAACTCAAGTCAGCAACTGAAGCAGCAATTTTAAAAATCAAACATTCTAACAGTACAACCCAAAGACACACTGCAATAATTACCTGCTGGGGAAGATGATAAATGTTTTCGTTTTACATAATTAAACCATGATGTTTCTGTAAGATCAAGAAGCTTATATATACAACAAAATGCTACAATTTGTAATGTACTGTCGTCTTAAACCTGAGGTGTTTCAGGCTGGTTCGTTGGTGTTGTGTGGCAGTGCAGAGTACACATTTGTGTTCAGACCCAAAGTCACACGATGCAACAAGGGTAAGCTGTACTGCCCCAAACCCCTCAGATTGATTATGTGTTTGACTTGGAATTAATTTTCACTAATAACATGTTCAGAAACCTTTTACTGTTACCAAATAGTTTGCAATCCCCAGTATTTGTTTACATGATCCCTTGGGAAGTTTTGACCCACAGAATAAGAAGCTGGAGTGTAGACTGTAGAATTGGGGAGACAAGCAGTTTCCAAAGCAAGTTAAAGCAGCAGAGGTTCCCTGAAGTCTGACTTTCTCCTGTTACTACGCTCTCCTGTGTAAGGTAGGGCCAGCCAGTCTCTTCTGCTCAAAACTCAGGATAAAGATCAGGTTACAGAGAACTTCCTTTCCCTGTGTTTGAGGTCAACTTTGAGCCCTTCAGACAGTTCCGTGTGGACACGGTGCTGTTGCTTACATTCTGCCTCCAGCCACAACCAAGTCTTAGACATTTAGCCCTTCAGATTTTTTAACTCTTAAAATCAGAGAACCAAGTCGGGCTGAATAAGTGTTGCTCAGTGCCACACCAAGTAATGGGTTAGAATACCTTTCTGTTACGCAGGTGGAAGGCTTCAATGCCCTTAGCCAGGCAAAGGTCAACTGCAGCCTCTTTTCTAAGTTTTACTACTTAACCATGAACAATGCCATGTTGTTTTTTTTTGCCTCAGAGTTGGTTGATGACCTTCATAAAACAAAACAAAAACAAGCAGAAAAACTTTGAATGGCATTTTTTTTTGGCTTCTTGAGTTAAACGAGACCCCTTTACTTCTTTACTTCTGTGTTTTTTTGTTTGTTTGTTTTTGTTATTTTGTTTTTGTTTTTGTTGTTGTTGTTGGTTTTTTTGCCACAGCTTCTACTACTTTATTGCATCCTTTTTTCTGGAGATTTTCCTCCCAAACCTCCTCTCTGGACTGGTTTGTGTGGTTTTTGAAATTAGACAGGCATCTACAAACAGGCATCTTCTTTTGTCCAAACTATGGGCCATGGTGGATAAAGGCAATCTTTTGCATGGCAAGACAATATCAGGGTTGTGGTGGTATTGTGTTCCCCAAAAATATTTTGCACTCTAATAAACTTATCTGAGGTCAGAGAACAGAATAGCCACAATATTAAACATAGAGGAGAGGCAGTGGTAGCACATGCCTTTAATCCTAGCATTCCAGAGGCAGAAATCCATGTGTTCAAGGATACAGCCAGGCATGGTGACACACGCCTTTAATCCCAGGGAGTGATGGCAGAAAGGTTTGTAAGGTGTGGAGACCAGGAACTAGAAGCTTTTAGCTGGTGAAGCTTTCAGGCTTTCGAGCAGCAGTTCAGCTGAGAGCCATTTAGATGAGGACACAGAAGCTTGCAGTCTGAGGAAACAGGATCAGCTGAGGAACTGGTGAGGTAACTGTGGCTTGTTCTGCTTCTCTGATCCTCCAGCATTCACCACAATACCTGGCCTCAGGTTTGATTTTATTAATAAGAACCTTTTAAGATTCGTGCTACACAGGGTGTTTCCTCTGATAAGGGTGCCTTTTATTTCCCCTGTCAAGATGTTCTTAGGTTCTGTTTGCATAGGCTGAAAACAAAACTGTTAGCCATAGGACAACCATGATACAAATTTAAACAGCAAGAACACAAAGTTATGTTAGACAGTCAAACCTTAGAAAGTGATTTTTAATGGTCCTTTTTCAGTTTCTTTCCACCTCTGGGGGTTGGACTCCTCTTCTATGGGTTCCTCAGGTACCTTCTTGAGGTGTGAGCGATGAACCCAGGGAGAAATACCAGTGACTTAACAGCAGTAGGCATCTGGAGAATCACAATGTAAGGTCCTTTCCATCTAGGTTCAAGCCAGTCAGTTTTGAAGCAGCAGACTAATACAGCATCTCCAGGCTGGAACAGTGATCAGGTGGGCAGTACCCAACAGGTTGAGCAGCCTGGACCTGAGGGAGAATCTTATCGAAAGTTAATTGCAATCTTTTTAAGGATTCAGAGATTGGAGTGGGGCAATCTGATAACAGTCCAGCATGTATCTGAAGGATCATGGGAGGTGGTTGCCTGTAGACTACATAATATGGGGTGAAATTTTCTTGGTAGGGGGTACATTAGACCCTGAGAAGGGCATAAGGTAAGAGGTCAGTTACCACCAGTTTCAAGAGTATATTTAGTTAAAACCTCCTTTAAAGCTCTATTCATTCTCTCTATTTTTCCTGAGCTCTGAGGATGATACATACGACATAGTTTCCGATTTATGTTAAGAGCCTTAGAGAGCAATTGAGACAACTTAGCTGTGAAGGCTGGGCCATTGTCAGACACCAGAGATATGGGGAGGCCATTTCCATTATCAATTTTTTAGCTACCACTTGGGCCGTTTCTGTTCAGGATGAAAAGGCCTATACCCAGCCTGTGGTGGTATCAACAAAGACCAGCAGATGTTTGTAACCATACAGTCCTGACTTGACTTCAGTGAAGTCCATTTCCCAAAATTCACCAGGTACTGTCCATTGAATCCATTGGCCTGGGAGAAGCATGCCCTTCTTTGCCTTTACCTGGGCACAGGTCAGGCAGCGGGCTGAAATGACCTGAAGTTTTTCTCGGTGTCCAGGTAGCCAGACGTGAGGGAAGGTGAGTTCTGAGATTTTCTTAGGTGATAAGTGCATGGCATGATGCAAGACAGCCAGTTTTGGCCAGTACCTTTGGCATGCAGATTCTCCCATCAGGCAAGATCCACCTTCTGTTGCGGCTCTCCTGAGCTCCCAAGTTAGAATATGACTCGATCTCTTCTGGATCATACTCAGGAACATCTCCATCGAGGCAGAGTAAGGGCTCAGGGACAACAGGTAGTTCCAGAACAGTCTGGGGTTTGGGTTCCCTGAGAGCAGCCTCTTACCTTGAGTTTGGGGGCTTTTGTCTTTGGGGTGTCCTGGCCAGTGGTCAGTTCAGTTGGCAGCCAGATGGCCTCTAGAAAGTGGACAATTTCATGTTTATTTTTAATAGTCTTTCCTTCTGAGGTGAATAAGACCCTCTGTTTATATATCTGTCCATGAACATGAACTGTGGCAAAAGCATATCAACTGTCTATGTAGATGTTCACCTTTTTTCTTTCAGCCCATCTTAAAGCCTATGT